CCCCCCCCCTGTATTCTCAGCTACTTTGGATTATCTGGGGTCTGTCGGAACTTAAAATTCCCCGAATTATTCTTTTTAAATCTTCAGTTATTCAGCTTAGTTCCTCAGCTTCTCGCGAGCTTCTCCGCATTTTTATCATCTTCAATCTGAGAACACTCGCAGATTTTAAGCTGATATCGTTTCGTTCCCCTCCTCATTTTCATATTCAATTGTTGCAAATTATTTCGCCGAACTTCCATTTCCTTTAATTTTCAATTTCATCTTGTCTTATCTTCCTAGCTTGAACTTCTTACTTTATTTCACGTTTTCAGGTGTTCCGAATCAGCGAGATTGCATCGTATCCTTATTTCCTTGAATCTCCTTTCCTTTTTCTTTCCTTTCAAATTGCATCCGCGTCTTCGCGTTCCTTCCTCGAATTGTTCTAAATTAATGAGATTTACCTTAACTTTCTTTTAATAATTTACTTCATGCAAAGTTTATAACAATATGCGACGTTATTTAATCTGAGCTTCTCCCTTTACCTCATCTTCAATTACTCAAAGTTTCTCCAACTACATCCTCCACTATCTTCATTTATCTTCGGCCGTGCTAAATTAGAAAATTCGTCTTCTATCTTAATTATCGTCCAACTCGCGAATTAATCACCCTCGCGAATTAATTTAAACAAATTGTTGCCGAGATCAAGTGTAGTCGATGAAAAAAAAAGAAAAACGTAAAGGACGACACTCGATATACGTGTACCAGGTGACATAATAAATAAAAGAGCATAGCTGGCACGCTCGCCGCTTCATCATAATATTCTATTCAGAATATCTTCTATTAAAAGGAGACATTCCGTGAAAGATATCTTGAAGTCATTTGCCTTTTACATTTAGAAGAAATTTATTCAATTTGTTAGTATTTATATAATTTTGCATTTTTCTCATTTTGATCAACTGTGCCATTTTTTTCACTAGAAATTTACAAAATTATTATGTTTTTCTAATTACGAGAACTCCACGATTATTTTGCAATCATTTTATAATTGTCTGATGTGTGGAAACTAATTGTTAGTTTATAATTATTCATACTGGGATAGAGTAAATTATCTATAAATTACCATACAGATAATTGAATGTTTACTTTAAAAGTGAAAAAACGAATTCTGCTTGAACGAATTTAATTGACAGCTCGAATTTTTGAAACAAACCTATGATCGAACAATGTCGCTCCTAATTTTGATTAAACGAATTGAATTGGCAATATTATCCCTCGCAAGCCTCAAATGAAGTACAGGAGTTCTCCGAGTAAAACCAAATCTACAATTACTCTCTTTTTTTAAATAAAACGAACAACTAACGCTCTTCCTTGGAAATCATCAACTTATTAACTTAAAACTTTCAATTGTAGAATTCACTTTCCAAAAAAGAAAAAGAAGATGCACAGGCATACCTTGTCGAGAAACATGTGAAAAAAGATGTCATAAAAAAAAGTATATTCATCGCTGACCAAATCAAATAAAAACTTGACGTTGGCTCGTGAAACGAAGGGTTAAATCGCGTCACTCGAAGCCGGAATATCATCAAACTCATCGTTCGTTCGATTTCATGAACGAACTGGCACCGTTTCGAACCAGGGATGGAAAACGTATCACTAGCTAGACAATCCTAGACGTTTCTTATGCGAGATGTGTTTGTATGTGACATAAATCAAAAAATATATTATAGAATGATGTGTTGAAAATCGTGCGACAAGGACGCGACCTCTTCCTCCGGAGAGGCGATCACGTCTGCTTGCGTGCAGAGATTTCCAAAGGCGAGAAAGAGAAGCTTTCAAGCTCAATGGAAGAGAATAAAGAATGTACAATAATAACTGGAGCATGTGCGTTTCGAAATCGCTGATTTAAGTGTGTGTTAAATCGAGTGTAAGAGAGTTTAAAACGAGAAAGAA